TGTTCTAGCATTGTGGGCAGATATTCTTTTTTTTGTATTTTTTTGACACGCTATATAAGAAAAATATTTAGCCGAACTGGTATGGCATGTCAAACGTTGCAGTATTCGATCTTTTCCATTTGTATTGTATAACTTTCCATTTGTATTGTAAAATTTTTATTTGTATTGTATAATTTTTCATTTGTATTTTATAATTTTCCATTTGTATTGTATAACTTTCCATTTGTATTGTATAATTTTTCATTTGTATTGTATAATTTTTATTTATATTCTGTAATTTTCCATTTGGATTCTATAGTTTTCCATTTGGATTGTATATTTTCCACTTGCATTGTAAAAAAAATCATTTGTATTGTATAATTTTTCATTTGTATTCTATATTTTCCAATTGCATTGTATAATTTCTTATTTGTATTGTATAATTTCTTATTTGTATGCGATAATTTTTCATTTGTATTGTATCCGAGGATTGTTTATTTATTTCGTTACGAAGGATGTCATTGGTCATAAGTCTGTATAAAGGTTTCGGGTGCCCAACACAAACTTAGTCTGGTACCCTTCCTACAACTCCGACCGCACACTCACTACAAACACAAACTCGGCTTCTCTATTTGCATGCATGCTAAGGGACGAACATTCGATTCTCGGGGGGGGGGGGGGGGCGAATCCGATTATTTTTTTTCATTCTCTCACAGGAGAGAATATTTATTTCCAATGTGACCAGAGACAAGGAGAAAAACGAAAAGAAGAAAATCTGCCCAAACCCGAAAACTCAGTTTCTTTGGGGTGGGGGTAGGTTCCACCACTCAAGGTCAATCTATTTATTTTCTCAGTCATTATTTCTAAGGACAGATTATTTATTTGCCACCATACATATGCCGCCGAAACATGGCTGAAATATTGCCGACTCAGTGTTAAACAATAATCAAGCAAGCAAGCAAGCAAGCAAATACATATGAGCCCAGTTTGCTTTGAGCACCCGGAACATCTTCAACCCGATACAGGCTGAAACTTGACCAATGAAATCCTTCGTAACGAAACAAATAAACAATCCGCGGATACAATACAAATGAAAAATTATCGCATGCAAATAAGAAATTTTACAATACAAATAAGAAATTATACAATGCAAATGGAAAATTATAGAATACAAATAAAAATTATACAATACAAATGAAAATTATACAATACAACTAAAAAATTATAGAATACAAATAAAAATTATACAATACAAATAGAAAATTATAGAATACAAATAAAAATTATACAATACAAATGGAAAATTATACAATACAAATGGAAAAGATCGAATATTGCAACGTTTGACATGCCATAAACTGGAGCTTAAAAATCATTGTACCCTTTTCCCCACATCAACTTAAATCTGAATTCTACACTTAAGTTAAGAATTATGTATGTTCCATATACAAAAAAGGAGAAAAAATACGCACAAAAGGTTGTCCCAAAATTTCGTAGACAAGCTTAGTTTTGTATGAATCCGGTCTCATATATTAAAGAAACTTTGAATATACAGATTAAACCTACTATAACTAATAACTTTATAGACAAACACAGAGTAATTACACAAGTTAAAATATTTTATTTTCTCATGTAAGAAGGGGGTGCGGTACCCAGCAAATGCATCTGAATATCGGTTTATATATTTAAAAGAAAATTTTTTAATTTCTGTAAAAGGTATGATAGTCTACGGAATTGTGGGACAACCTTCGTATATGTATAGAATTTTTTTTATTTTTTTTATTTTTTTTGCCTATTAAAATCGAAATAAAATATATATAGTGTTCTGTTCTGATCAAATATAAACATAATATTACTACATGTAACATCTGTATAGTCTTGTTTATTTGAGTATAAAAGCAGAGTTATGTCGATAATTTTTTGCTATGATTAACCGACTAATTCGTCGGAACGTCTTGCGCTAAACCGATTGGCAATTCTATAATCGATTGCCATCCCTAGTATATATTTAGTTTATATCTACAGGTGCAATGCAGCAAATATGTAATGTTATGTCAAATTCTATATCCAGAAGTATCTGGGCAAAGAGAGGGTAGTGGAGTCAAATAACAGTTGCTATCATTAAGCGTAGAAAGCCTTACTAGTATACATGTATATGAATATGAGTCAAAGCAAAGAAAATGAACAGAAAAAGTTGCTGAAAAGATTGAATCAATTTATTCCTTGTAATCAATATATATATATATATATATATATATATATATATATATATATATATATATATATATATATATATATATATATATATATATATATATATATATAATTTAATTCTGGTTGTAACGCTGTATTTGATTGGATAAAAAATTTACTTTATATCGTATAAAATGGGTTGCCTACGTCACAATGACTTGCGTCGAAAACGTATCGATCCGCCTGACGTTACATTTAAATTTTGTACAAATTGAAGTCATTTTTTAAAGACCATCATCTTTTTTTCTTACACTAAATGAATGAAAATTAAATTATAAGGAATGAAATTAATAGCTACCCAATTTATACGGTATAAAGTGGGTTGGAACAGTTTACGCTTTTTTATAAACCGCTTCGCGGTTTATAAAGCGTAAACTGCCCATACCCACTTTATACCGTATAAAATGGGTAGCTATTAAATTCATTCCTTAAATATATATAAAGCACTAAAAATGACCAACGACACGAACAATAATAATTGTCAAATTTTCGGGACAACCTGTCCCTTCCTCAGGACAAAGAAAAAAGTTAAGAAGTCATAAAAACAAAGGAAATAGAGAAGCAAAAACAACTAGCACTACTACTAAACTACCAAACACTAAATATTTACAATGTTACATGTTTAATTTGGAGTTTATAAACAGTTGTGAACAAAGAAAACCGGTGTATCCGGTTAGCAGGGGTTGCTCACTCCTCCATGACACTTGATCCCACCTCTGAGGTTTTTGGAGGTCCGTGTTTGCTCTGCTCCCGATTTGTATTGTTGTATCCTGAAGAACACCTCGGCCAGAGTTATTAAGTATCTCCATACAGTGTAGATTCAGTTTGTTCACATCAGAAGCTAGAATGAAGTCATGATTGGAATTAAAATTTTATTTGGGAATTCAAGTGTATTGGAATAAAAATTCTTAAGTTTAAAACTCGTCTTTTTAAGATCAGCAAGACCACAATAGGTCATATTGTAATTATAATACTTTGTCAAATCATGGGCCTTGGGCTATATAGGGAATCAGAATTTTGCATTGGAAACATAAAGGGAAAAAATCTATAAATAGTCTTTTCTGAAGAAAAATGGGGCATAGTAGTAAAATTAATCATCTTCATGTAATAAAGATGAGACTGTTCAAATCGTGACCTTGGGGTCAAAAAAAGAGTAATACTATCTAAAGGTTATCTTCGCCCCTTGCTATTGCCCTATCACACTTGCAAACGATTTTGCCCCAGAACCACACCCCCGCCTTCCCAAAAAAAAACATGCCCTTCACAAAAAGGAGTAATATTATATAAGGGTTATTTTCGCCCCGTGTTATTATCGCCCTATCACACTTGCAAATGATTTTGCCCCATACACCGTCATGTTAAAGAGGCAACTCTGTCTTCTTTGAATTTGCCCCGTTTTAAATTCGTCCACTTTGGAGAAAGGGGCGAAAATAAAATGGGGGTGAATTTTTACCTGTTTACAATATGCATGTATATATGTATAGAAACATCTTGGTCTTCTCACAAAGTCAGAGTCGCATTTAGTCATATTTAATATATGCAAACATCCAATGCAACGTGGATTCATATAAGGGCAACCATTGGGAACATCTGTAAGAAAAAGAGGGCTACTATTTCCTTGAGGTGATATATAGCCTTTATAGTTAACTTTATTTGGAATCGTAGACTTTAATTTTGAGAAGAGTAAGAGGTTTCATTTTTTCTTGAAATCACAGACTTTAATTTGGAGACGACAGTAAGAGGTTTCATTTATCTACGTGTACTTATTCAATAGACCTTTGTCAGGAAGAGAATGGGGAATCAGGTAAGCCTTATGAACCACGGGCCTCTTGTTTAACTCAAGGTGGTTCTGTTAAAAGTATAAACAATTAACTTTCCTTGATTTGTTTCAAAAATAAGGATACCGCAAAGTGGAATATCCCCTCGCAATAGAGCACATCTTCAAGAGGCTTGTTACGTACAACACTCTAAGCACTCGCATCAAAACAAAAGCAAATGGATGTTTGTAAAAGGCAGTATCATACCACAGGTACTTGTGGACAGGACCCCCCCCCCCCAATATTCAACCCAGAGGCTTGTTGGACATTTTTTTTCACAAATTATATTTATTACACTTATTTATCATGTGTACCATAGGTAAAAATCGTGAAAACCCCAAAATAATCGTTCCACACAAAACTACCCTCACTATACATTATAAGAGATCCTTATAATGTATAATGGGGGTATTTTTGTGTAGAACGATTATTTTTAGGTTTTCACGAAAACAAGCCTCTGGGTTGAATATCGGGGGGGGGGGGGGGGGGGGTTCCTGTCCACAAGTACCTGTGTGTCATACAAAGTTCCTGTCATTTTTTTATGTTTAACTGCCATTGTTTATGTTTAACTGCCATTGACTCCTGATTCATTCTACAATAGAACAGAGCTAAGTTATAATTATGGAGCACCAACATATAGATCTGTACAATTAATTATCATTACAGCAATCACAAAACGCGTCTTATTGACAAGAATACATTTTAATTTAAAAAAAATAGAAAAGAAAAAACCATATACATTAGGGGGCATTTTTATTTTATAGATAGATCAAATATGATTTCAGTATCGTATTTTTAACGCTGCATTTTACGATCAAATCTCAAAATGTAGGTAAAATTGTATCAAAAACTTGGTCTTTATTCTCAGTTTAATGTGTAGCTCAAGTTTGCTCAATGCCACAACTACAACAGCTAGGAGTCACATGATTCAAAGACTGTGTTTTTTTCTAGATGTGGACAAAGAACTGCAGAAAAGTCTGATAAACGGATTCGCTCTGGCGGCCAAACTTGGCGTCTCTGCATCCTGGGCCGCCATCATGGCCTTCACAACGGAAGTTTATCCCACTGTCGTCAGGTAAGTAGATTCAGGTCCGGAAGTATAATTACTAGTATCCCACTTGTCGTCAAATAAAAAGATTCAGATGCGGAAGTTTATCCCCTTGTCCGCGGATCAAACAGAAAAAATACTCTATTTTAGCAAAATGGATATAGTGTTCTCATCTTATATAACTCCTGTAGGGGTATATCTTTACATTTTTAATTCAGTTTATTCAGTACTTTAACATTTACTGTAGGCCCTTCAGTAGTTCCCGAGTTTTCGTTCGACAAATTCACTTGTGATTTTTTTTCTATATAAAATCTTATGATTTTTACTTTAAAAAACAGAAACATTGGTTATGGAACTCAGAATTCCATTTCACGGATAGGAGCGCTTATTGCACCCCAGTTTGTTCTGCTGGTAAGTATTCGTGGAAATTATCCGATGTAGATAGAATTTTGTGGTGCACTATGAATTTACCTACAATTCTTTATTTTTTTTTATTTCCAGAACAAAGAAACTCCTGGGGTTATGTATATCATCTGTTTTGTTGTTTCCTTAATCTCAGCTATCATGTGCCTTTTGCTGAAGGAAACCAAAGATAAAACAATTGGGGACAATTTGGAAGTTTCAGTAAAGCAGAGGTCCGGAAGTCGTGTGTAGAAGTGAAAATATTACACCAGTAGAAGTACGATGAGCTTCCCAAGACGACCATGGTCCTATAGCTACATGATATACTATGCAATTTGTCGAAACCAATTATCCTACGTTTTATAATAGATTATATTTCTACTTTTTTGTAAGCGAATTAGTTTAGCATAACATAATTAGCATAATAGAATAAATTGAATTCAGACAAGATTTTTGTTACTATTTTTCATTGTAAAAAAACTCATTAATAATTCTTGAATAGAAAGGAACGGCTTTCTTGTGCCCTTCACCATATATTTAACTACATTTTTCATTTTCTCACTTTGTTCATGAAAAAAAAAAATCAAAAAAGAAAATCAAATTCGCATCTCAAATTTGCTGGTCTCTAAGAGGCGAAAGAGAGCTTGCGTTGCCAGTTGGCATCTAATTGGTTGAAAATTGCAACCGTTAATGTTAGAATTACCCGTCATGTAGAAAATTATTTCCCCAGAAACATTTCAGCTTATCAAAAAGGCTTCTCAAATGAAATGAGAAGGCGTTTATGCAAATTATCACGCAAGCCACTCGATTGATCACATCATGAATCCAAAAAATTAGACAGTTATTCCAATAATAGGGGAAATCTGAGAAAGAAAGAGGGAAATTTGGCTCTACTGTGAGATTTCCCCTCGGGGGAAAATCCCACTTTAGAGTACAGATTCCAGGGGGAAAACTGGCTATTGGGGAAATCCTACTCTACAACACCTGTAGGCCATTTCCAACCAAAATTGGCACAAAGCATCCTTGGGTAAAAGATAATTCTAAAGTCTTCAAATGAAGGGCAAAGTTCTCTTCCGAAGGAGAAATAATCAAGAAAAGGCAAAATTAGGGTGAAGTCATTAAAAAATCTTCTCAAGAAACACTGGGCCAGAAAAGCTGAAACATATATGGAAGCTTCCTGAGGTAGTATAGATCCTAAATTGTTCAAATCATGGTCGGGGGGGGGGGGGTTTAAGATGGGGTCAAAATAGGGGATCTAAGTTTTTCATTGAAATATATAGGAAGAATCTTCAATATCCTTCTTCTCAAGAACCACTGAACCAGAAAAATCTTATATCCATGCAAGCTTCCTGAGGTAGTGTAGATTCTAAATTGTTCAAAACATGGACCCCGGGAAGGTTGAGGTTGCAATAGGGGATCAAAGTTTTACATTGAAATATACGGGAAAAATATTTATAAATATTCTTCTCAAGAACCACTGATTCAGAAGAAATAAAGCTTATATGAAAGCTTCCTGTTGAAATATATAGGAAAAATCATTGAAAATCTTTTCAAGAATCACTGGATTAGAAAAGATGAAAGTTATTCCAGATTCTAAGTTTTTCAAATCATGGCCCCTGGAGGCAGGGTGGTTTCCACAATAGGGGAGAGAAGTTTAATGGTGAATTATAGATATTAGATTTAGAAAAAATCTATAAAAATCTTCTCAAGAATCACTGGTTCTGAAAAGTTGAAGATTGTAAATTGTTCAAATCTTGGTCCCCGGAGGTAGGATGGGGTCACAATAGAGGATCTAAGTTTTACATGGGTTAGGTCAACAGTTAGGTCTACATCATATTCGCACCAAACTTTACTCTTTCCCTTTGAAACTTTTAAATAGTCTTCTTGAAAAGGTCAAGGAAAGTCCATTTTTTGATTCCTCGACACCAGAATATAGGCTCGGATCTGTAGTTATGGATATTGCCAATCATAGGCTTTTTAAACCCCCGCGTTTTACTGAAGAAAATGCAGCTAAAACAATCCGTTTTTTCCTTAAACTTCAATATGCCAACAAAGGAATTGACGCGGTTAATATAAGTAATATTCTTAATCACAAAAGGGTCCAGTCTTGTATTCCACCATATTTCAACTTAAAGATTACACCTTGTATTTCCTACAAATATACATCGACTATTGCTTCCAAACTTTTTAATTACAAGAAAACTTTACAGGGCCTGGATATCGAATATCTGAAACATAATCCTCCATCGTGTTCATGTTCTTCTTCGCCCTATAACTATAGTCCTGCTGGACACGTTATTACTGGTGACGTAAATATAGTTAATAATGAGGACCTTAGATCACTAATTTTAAAAGGTCCTAAATTTAGGGAACCTAGATCCTTCAACTGGCGTAAGAATTTCATAAATATTATGGATTCTGTAGAGGACTACGCCAGGCGATGGGCCAGACATGAAAAAGAAGACCTTGACACTTTGTCAGAATGGATTAAATGTATCAGATGTATGTTAAAATCGCGCATTAAAAGATTGAGAGGCAATATGAAAACCATCTATCCTTCTGTATTCAATAATCCAGAAGTGAAAAAAGAATTAGATAGATTACATGATCAGTACGTACTGGTCCCTGCTGACAAAGCAGGTAACAACATTGTTTGTAAGGCTCATTATATTAGATGTATTTTAGAGGAACTTGGATTTAATTCTACAAGTGGTAATCCAACTTATACTCATAGTTCCCTTTCTAAGGAAGAAATTCATCAAAATCATATGTCAGTTTTGGATGTTTTTAATATTCCAAACAACCAAAATGAATTCCAATTACCATATTTATATTGGATTCCGAAACTTCATAAAAATCCTTACAAACAAAGATACATAGCGGGTTCCAGTAAATGTTCAACCAAGCCTCTATCTTTACTGCTCACTAAGATATTAACAGTGGTGAAGGAGAAACTTCAAGAGTACTGTGCAACAATATATTCGAGAAGTGGTGTAAATCAGATGTGGATACTTAAAAATTCCAAGGAACTTTTGGAAAATTTGAAATCACAAGATTTTACCAAAATCAACAGCTTAAAAACTTACGACTTTTCAACTTTATACACAACCATTCCCCAAGATAAATTAAAGTCCAGGCTTTTTGATATCATTGACAGCTGCTTTTTCAATAAAAATGGAACTCGTAAATATACTTACCTTGTTATTGGTCATTTGCAAAATTATTTTGTTAAAAAACATTCTGATTGTACACACAAGTACTCTGAAGTTGACATTAAAAAGATGCTTGAGTTTCTGATTGACAATATCTATGTGGTTTTTGGAGACCAGGTCTTCCTACAATCTATTGGAATTTCTATGGGTACCAATTGCGCCCCGTTATTAGCAGACCTTTTTTGTATTCATATGAAGCAGAATTTGTCCAAAATCTTGTACATGAAAAGAAGAAAACACTTGCTGTGGCGTTCAACTCGACATTTAGATATATCGACGACGTATTGTCAATTAACAATGGCTATTTTCATTCTTATGTCGATACGATATATCCTGGTGAACTTGAGATAAAAGATACCACAGAGTCTGACATATCTGTTTCATATTTGGATATTTTACTTGAAAAAGACGTTAATGGTAATCTAACAACCAAGCTTTATGATAAACGTGATGACTTTAACTTTTCAATCGTCAACTTCCCTTACTTATGCAGCAATATACCTTCATCACCTGCATACGGGGTATATATCTCTCAGTTGATTCGATACGCAAGAGCATGCCCTACGTATGTACAATTTCTAAAACGAGGTAAATTATTGACAAATAAGTTGATGAAACAAGAATATCAGCTGTCTCGTTTAAAGTCATCATTTCGTAAGTTCTATGGTCGATACAATGACCTTGTCAGCAAATACAATTTATCATTGAGTCAAATGCTGACTGACGTTTTTCATACTAATTGTTAGGCCATTATTTACACACTGAATTGTCGACGGATTTTTCCGTTACTTCCCGATCATGACAAGGAGCACACGGCGGGTGTGACCGGTCGGCAGGGGATGCTCACTCCTCCATGGCACCTGATCCCACCTCTGATGTTTGGAGGTCCGTGTTTGCTCTGCTCCTATTTTGTATTGTATAATGGACTTTTGAGCTTGAATACTGTATGTTATCTCCATATATTTCATGGGACTATTTAAGATTTAAAAAAAAATAATTTTCTTAAGAACCACAATAAAACCACCTTTACACAAATTTGATATTCCTTATGCAAATTGCTTAAGAAATATCCAAATTTTTGCAAAGAGAGAATCATCAATTTGCAAACATTACCAAGTTATTTGCATTTTTTTTTTTAATTATTGACTCCAGGTTAGGTGCAGATCTTTAACTCGCTGGTCTGAAAAAAAAAAGGGATGGACGACCAGAGAGCTACAGTGCCACTCATTGAAAAAGTGCGCTGTTTCTCGATTTATTTCTCCGTATATTTCAAAATATTACCAACTTTGTGTTCCTACCATATTCTTTTACTTCTTCCACGACAAAACTGCATGACAAGTCATGTACCAAGTGCGTTGGACCGAATTATCTTGCCGTCCAAAATGGCAGTATAAATAGGCGAAATTTTCGATGGTCTCAATTTCAGGCCCAGGAGGGCTATCATGTTGTAAATTTTGAATTTACTAGGGGGAGGTAAATGCAAAATTTACAACATGATAACAGTTATCAAGTTGTAAATTTTGCATTTACCTCCCCCTAGTAAATTCAAAATTTACAACATGATAGGGCTATTATTGACGGTTTTGGAGAATGTTTTGTTGTGGCAGTAGTTAAAGAATAGTTCAGAAACACACGGTTAGTAATATTTTGAGACGGCAGCGTAAATATTCGGAGAAATAAATCGAGAAACAGCGCACTTTTTTGTGCGCAGTGAATATACTCTTTTTTCAATGGGTGGCACTGTAGCTCTCTGGTGTGGTCCGTCCTTTTTTTTTCAGACCAGCGAGCTACAGATCTGCAGCTAACCCCAGGTTAGAGTTGGCTAAAATCAGAATTAAATTTTACATAATGCATGTATACGAGATAATAATTTTCTTCTCCATAACTGCAAGGCGATGTTAGTCATACTGAAATGATGTTGAGGCCATGTTGTGTTGAGACCCCTTGGCTCGAGTTAGGGTGTGACCAAAATATGAGATCACAATTTTTTCAAATATAAATATCTCTGTAAAATCATCTTAAGAACTTACTCATCTGAGTTTTTTCTTTTGCTACATCCTTCCACAGTTTCAGTGGTTATATCTAGTTCGAAAAACAAATTCTTTGACAAGACATCAAGAGGGTAGGATAGAGTTAAGAGGAAGAAAGAGCAAGATCCTGAAAACTCATCGTTTATGCACACAGCACAAGCTGCAATTGATGACGACGAGATAGACACAAAATTTTACAGTTTCATCTGTAACTACCAATCATCCCTTCCTTTAACAACATTATTAGCAGGTTAGCAAAAGAATGGCAGATTTTTTTTTTTTTTTTGAAGATCTGCCTATGGCCACATTTTGCCCGAGAACATAGTCAATCAATAAATGGTGTGTTGTACCTTTTATTTTAATGCAAATGAGATTTAGCCGATCCCGCCCACAGTGTGACGTAAGCGGTCCAATTTCTCATCAACAGGTCCAATATCTTGCTCCGCATTTAAACATCGATTTTTTTATGACCGCTCAGTAAAACATTGGAAATGTAAAGATTATTTTTAGCATAGATTTATAAAGGAACCAATTTTTAAAGGTATAATATTTCAAGATGTTAGTAACCAAGAGACCCTATTGGTTTTGACGATCATCTAAGCTGCTAAGTATCTTTAAGTTCTCAGGCTACGACCACATTGGTCCCATCCGGAACGGAAATACTGGAATCATGTGACAATCGTTTTACAGTTTTGTAAGGTCTTTAATCATGATCATCTTCAGGAAGTTTGCCCCCTTATAGTTGAGGGTTAGAGAATAAGGTACACTGTCTAATAAATTTCAATACATGACCGACTTAAACACACCCTAGAGCCTGACACCTGGGGATACAATTTTATAATTGTTGTAGAGGGCTAGCTGCTCATTTTAGTCGAGCAAACATGTCTGGTAGATGCCAATTAATGAGTAAATGAAGATTTTCAAAGATGTATTTTCAATACTATTAATATTACGACTTACTTAGCCCCACCCTTGGACCTGTACCATGGGCCAGGAGGCCATGAATGTTACAATTTTGGTAGAAGTGTTAATCTTTCAGCTAGAAATCAATGAGTAAAGAAGATTTCAGACGTATGTATTTTTAACATATGACCAATTTAATCATTCCCAATCGCTGGGCTAGATCCCGGGGATCATGAATTTTCGGGTCCAGGGAGGCGTACACCATAAAATTCACAATTTCTGTTCTTGTTCACTCCTAAATATTATTAGTTGAAATGTTAAGAAGCTCCAAAGAAGCTGAAACTGTTCTAAAGTTAATGGTCAATGACATATGAAAACAGGTGGTAATGTCATCTGAGTGACTTGGGTGACCTAAAAAAAAACTTTTAAAAAACCTCCTTGGCCTGTTGGTTCAAAATAGTCCAGTGGGCTTGGAGAAAAAGTCCTCTCACTTATAGAGGAGCTGAAACCTCAACGTTTTACTTTTATTTTGAAAGCAAAGATAATAGTTTATCACTCAGATATTATTTTTAAAACTTTATTTCCAAAAACTTTAGCTGTAATGCCATGAAAATTAAATTATGCAAGAAGTTGAACAATTCTGTCATTTTAAACTTGTATTCATCAAATTTTGCAACATTTTGTTACTTTTACAAAAATTTTCATTAGATGGTATGCTAAATTACTCATATTCGCACTGACATCCATTATTTGTTCATCATTTACCAAATAAGTCCACTCATTCAAGCCCAATGATGACTATCCAATCAGAATAATGACTGAAAATTCAAAACAAAAAAGCATCCAAGAAGAAATTTATATTTTCTCTCTGAATACTTTTCCTGTTGTTTGTAATAAATATTTTGATTGGCTAGAATCATTGGGGAATCAAAGATGGAATTATGATTGTCTTGAATGATATTTATATATCTACAGGATGTGATAAATGCATTTACATTAATGAATTTACAAAAACATCACAGCTTTCATTCATAACGTCATCTGAGCAGAAAGAAAAAGAAGTTCCTGAAAGGATATTGAGTATTACATCATCACCATATATAGTCAGTGAAGGCAAAGCACTAGAAATAGTAACAGGCAGGAAAAAAATATCATTAATAAATGCAATTCTTAAAACATTTTTAAAAAGTATTTCTAACTTCAATACCTGTCCTATTTCTTAATTGATAATGCATATTTGTTTTCAAATGATAAAAGCTCAAAAACAAAATACAAAGAAAACATGGACATCATACAACCTCTTGTTTATAGACATACAGAAACACCAACAGAGTGTGATCATTTACATCAGAGACAGAAGACAGGTACAAAGATACATAATTATAAAACTATTCATTGCATAGTTAACATGGCTCAATTGCATCGAGTCCTTATAAGGCACATCTCGGTCTGCCGATACTTCTGATCTACAATATATCTTCTCATTGCACAATTAAACAAGACCTTGAAAAATAGGTCACAAAAATAGGTTACAATAAAGCTGCTCAGTAAATGTCATCAGAAAATAAAAATACAAAATAAGGACTTGTAAAGAAAGTTACTATAGAGAATTAAGGCCTCGTGGTCTTCATACAAACTTGACAGCGTGACACTCTTGTTCTCAAGTTACCGGCCTTCAGCGTTTCTTGAACTGGTGTGGCAAACTGGTTCTGGTCAATAGTGGTCAACCAGAAGCTGTATTTGTTGGCATAGAAATGGCAGGTGCCCCCACTGCCATTGCATTCAATGAATGGTGTGGCCCTGAAGTCCTCCAAACAACTTCCAGGACTAGATAGAGACTGACCACCCCCACTAGGTCCAGCACCGGTGTGCTGAAAAAAGTAATAGTTACTGTTTATGTTGACATTCAAAAAAAATTTACCTTGGACAAAATCCATGAAAGTAAATCATTACTTTAGAGAATAGTTACTAGTTAAAAAAAATGACTCTAATGCAATTCATGTATGTAAATCATAATACTCTGATCAAGGGAATTGCATTTACAATTATAATAACTGATAAAATCTGGTGGTTTCTTCTACTTTAGAATACTAATAATGAAATAAGAATTTCAAATGGACTAACCATTGCAAAACTGTAACCAATCCAGAGCCCCTTCCACCCTACTGGACATTCTGGGATAGCCATAATCTGACTGTGGACAGCAATGACATTAGCAGGGGCATCACAGACCACACAGCGACTGATGTATCGACGTAATTCTGGGTCACGAACTGGCATCATGGGCATTTGTTCATTAGTGGACAGCCAGTAGGATTTGTCGTTACGGCTGGCGTAGTTACAGACATTGTTGGTATTACAGAAAAGGAATGGCATTGTGCTAAATCTCTGCATACAAGATCCTGCCCAGCCTGAAAGGGTTACAAACAGGTCAGAGAAATGACCACTAGTTCTAACGACATCAACCTGCTTATTGACCAGAGAGAAATTATCAGTAAAAATAGAAAAATTGTGAAATTAGGATCTAACTTATAAGAATGTGAGAAATCAAAAGGTTTCACTTTAAAAGATATTTCAGATACTTTTTCTTCTTTTTCAAGGTTATTTATAAACATTACAAAATTTTATTAGAATGTCCTTGTTTGCATATAATGTCAGAGCTGTTTCCAAATGTTTCCTATAAATATAGAGGTTGTTACCTAAGTCTTGATGATGAGATCTCTCGTTTCCTTCGATGTAGAGCAAACTGTAACCAGTCCAGAGACGACTGGTGCTATCAGGACAGACTGGCTCAGAGTCCGTTTGACTGTGACGAACAACCAGAAAACCAGAGGGTGGGGTCCGTCCTGGGGGTCCTGGGAATCCTGGCTCACCAGTTGGTCCCTGGGGTCCTTAGGGTAAATACACAGTGATAACAACATAAAAATTATCGACAATATAACAACTGTCAAAATGTTGATAAAAGGATTGTGTGATATATATCAACTATTTACTGAGGGTTGTACTAATTCTCACAGTTTTCTTTCTTTTATTTCAAGAATAATTCAAATAACAAATTTACAATCTTGTAGCATGTTACCTGGGAAGCCATCATCACCGGGAATGCCTGGATTTCCTGGGAACCCGGGATCACCCTTCATACCGGGGAATCCCTGAATACCCCTCTCTCCTGGAATGCCAGGGAAGCCCTTGGGACCTTTAAATCAATAGCAAAAGATCCTTAAAACACACTTTAGTATAATCCACCATTACAAAGTACTTGTTACTTTATTTTATGTAGTATTTATTTATTTTCCATCCTGTTTTCTCTTCCATAAATTAGCAATACAATATATACTACTACTTATTGCGTCTCTTTTGATCGCTCTATTGCATACTTCATCTACTGTGGTCTCATTCATTTTTGATGGGATCTAATTTATTGGTAATGGCAAACACATGTAGTACAATTTCGTTGGTACGTAAATTTGTGGAAATTCACCTCTTCCTTTTCCTATCATTCATTAAATATGTAGTTCATTGATCAACTAATTTCATGGTTTGGCTCAACCATGGAAACAATGAACAAAAAAATTACAAGACCAGGGTACTTGTGGGACTGACCTGGGAATCCTATGTCTCCTTTGAGTCCGGGAAGTCCGGGTTGTCCCGGTCGTCCTCCAATTCCTGGTTCCCCTTTATCTCCCTTGATCCTCATGTTAGGGTTTATTATGGCCCCTGGTCCAGGCTCGCCCTTCAACCCATCAAAACCTTGTTCACCTTAAAGTACAACAAGCAAATAAATCCTCTGCAATCTTCTTAGTTGTTCACCAATATACAGTATGGTTGAATTTTTTTCACTTATTACACAAAAGGTGAAAAAAAATTAGAAGACCATAGCATAGGATTTTCTTCTCAATTGCAATCTGTGTTATTACATGTAATCTTATATCTCCTTTCCATCAGATTATCTTTTATAGTGTCTACTTTGGCTGGGATTTCGTTCTCACCTTTAGGTCCTTGCAATCCAGGTAATCCTGGAAAACCCCTTTCTCCCTTTAATCCTTCCACTCCATCTCTTCCTGGGCGTCCGGATTCTCCCTTCATTCCAGGTAATCCAGGTACTCCAGAGTTTCCGGGCTCACCTGTCAAATCAAAACTCATTTTTGATCACAAGTTCTGATAAACTGTAACAAATATTCAAACCATTTTGAATCTAAAATTAATTTTATTACTATTTTTTTCTGCCCAGCAAACACACATTTTTTAAACTTAAAAGCAGCCAACTTACTATTCAAAAATATTCCTAAAACACCTAGACATTTTCTGTGCCTTAAGTTTTCTCTGTTTTCTTAATGAAATATGAATTCATGCATGGTGGGAGAGAATCCCCAAGCATACATACCTGCAGGACCTATTGGACCTGGTAGACCCTTAAGTCCGGGGAGTCCAGGAACACCTCTGTCTCCAGGTTCTCCCTTGATTCCAGGGAATCCTGGCTGTCCGGGTTCACCTGGGATTCCAGTCAAACCAACCTCACCTTATAGAAAAAAAAACAATGAAGATAATTTACACTGGTATCGAAATACATGTGCTCATATACAAAACACTGCATTAAGATCACTCAATAGCATATCTAATTTTCTTTATGTCTGCATGCAGTATGTTTACCTGGAATTCCATTTAAGCCTCTGTCACCCTTGGGGCCCTGTGGTCCAGGATATCCCACACCTGCATCCCCTTTCATTCCCGGCAAGCCTGGTTGGCCTGGGAGACCTGCCTCCCCTTTCATTCCTGGGAAGCCATCACGACCTATTTCTCCTGGGATACCTGGCTCTCCCTTGATTCCAGTAATGGAACGACCTGGCTCTCCCTTATTTCCTGTTGGTCCCTCAGGTCCTGAAATAGTGGCAAGGTTATCTCTCTGATAGTTAAAGAAAAACTTCACCTACTTCTGGCAATATGACTGTACAGATAATAACAACATAATTTTGAGAAAGATCCAGATTATGAATAATGTTTTTATTTTGTTTCATTTGCTTGTCTCCAATGATTAATCCTGGGAGAGGTAATGCTGTGGATAAAAAACGTTTTGTCATTTGGTTAAATCACTAAACCTTGGAAGTTAGTCTTAAAACAACTTTGCTTTGCTTTAAAGATCTGAGCGTGTTTCACAACCGTTGCTACTGGTACTATTTGGTGGTTTGGAACAGTACCATTTTATCTCATTCCAATACAGAACAAAATCTCACACTGATAATTAGAGAGTATATGTTTATAATTATGATCTATTTATAAATCTGTAATACTGACCTCTTTCTCCCTTCATTCCTGGTAGACCTTCTCTTCCCTCTGGTCCGGGAAATCCAGGCTCTCCCTTTGAACCTACCAAAAATATATATATATAAAATCTCATTTGGTTAAACAACAAGTTCTGTAAATTAAGTACAGAATACAAACACTAATTTTTCCTTTACCTTTCTGTCCATTTAACCCTGGCAATCCTTGATCTCCTTTAGCTCCTGGGACACCATTCAGTCCATCTCTTCCACGATCACCCTTAGCACCAGGGAAACCAGGTTCACCTAGGAAACACATTACAGTATTTTGTGCTGGATTGGCTTATTTTGAAAAAAAAAAATAATCTGATCTGATTGGCTTATATAGCATGTACTTACCAGGTTGTCCAGGCAGACCATTCAACCCTGGTTCTCCCTTCAGTCCAGGCTGTCCCCTCTCACCCGGCACTCCTGGTAACCCGGCATCACCCTTTGGCCCGTCACGACCAGGAACTCCATTCAGGCCTGGCTCTCCCTTTATACCAGCTCTTCCAGGAACACCACTAAGACCAGGATTACCTGACAACAAAATATATGAAACAGACTTTTATAGTTAGAAGCATACATGCATCATACCTTTTAAACTTCCTAGTGTCAAGCTTCTTGAATGAAATTTCAGATAAATTAATGCTCTCTTTCTGTCTTAATATCAGCAATTCTTCTATGAATCACACCTCTGATCAAGGTGATGGAATAGATGATTTTTTTTTTCATTTTGAGATGGCCCTTACCTTTCATTCCTGGGAGTCCATCATTGCCAGGAAGACCAGGCTGTCCAGGTTGTCCTGGGAAACCCTGCATAGAGACCAAATAAACAATCACAAAGTGACCTAGTTATGTCAGTTAACAATAGTTAAATAACAAGTCAGCGTTTGATATTCACAGTCAATAACATCTGAGTTTTGAAACTTTGAGTTTTGAAACTTACCCTCTCTCCCTTCATTCCAGGGAATCCTGGGAGTCCTTGTGGGCCTTGATTTCCCTTCATTCCTGGTAGTCCTGGTGCACCATCCCGACCCCTTTCTCCGTTGATGCCTGGCTCTCCTGGGATTCCTACTCCCGGGGATCCTTGGTCTCCCTTCATTCCTGGCAGTCCTGAGAGTCCTGTTTAGGTAAAGTAAAATATTCCATTTAATTCCATACTTTTTTTCTGATTTTAAATAAAACAATATTTCTTAATCTAAAACATAAGAATTGAAAAACACTGGATTGGGCAACATACAAAGCTTATTCTATAGGATTTCAGCTAGCAAAATTCTTTTCAATCAAATCATTTCAACAAGACCCTCTATCTTTTCAGTTCAGTAATTCATATTACTGATAAATCTCCAAATCAAAGTTTACAAAAACACCATATTCATTTTGAAAATTTTCAGAAATTTGCAAAAAGTGCACCGACACAAAGTGCTTAAGTGTGATTTTTTTCTGTGCAGTTTTTTTTCAAGATTATTTCAGCTAAGACTTTCTGAAAAGTATTTGCCAGTTAGCAATGTCGATTCAAAGACAGTACTTCTATATCTAAAATCAGGGTTTATTAAAATGAGGGACATACATGTATAATTCACTTAACCTTTAAACAGTGATAATTATTCTTGATAAAGTATTCCTACTGACCATCTTGTCCTGGTAGTCCGGGATTTCCTGGGGCTCCAGGCCGTCCAGCATCACCTTTAGGTCCTGGGAGACCATCTTGACCCGGGGAACCGAGTAATCCTGGAAGTCCGCTTGGTCCACGTTCACCTTTCTGTCCTGAAAGTCAAAAATCCTTAGTCTTGTACAAAGTTCTGTATGTACAAAAAAAAAAACTTAACTTGCTGGAGAAGAAATTGATTAAAAAATGATTGAATTCAAGCTGATTTGGAGTTTCTTGAGTATACAAGACCAATCAGCTCCATTAAGATTACAGTAGAGCCTCATTTTCTGAGTGGAGGGGTTTGTCCCAAGTGATATTGTCTAGATTTCAAAAATACTAAAGTTAAGATCTTACTCATAAAACCTTACAAGTTCATCATTAAAAGTGATATGTACGTTTGGATTCAGAATGTAAATTACCAGATTGTTGAGTTCAAGTCAAATTACATGTTACATGTTACTTGAGCATCTAGATTAACCAATGTCCTATTGAACACAAGAAGAAAGAAAAAAGGTACCTGGTTCTCCAGTTCGTCCTTGTTCGCCTGGAATTCCGGGGAATCCCCTCTCACCCTTCATTCCTTGCAGTCCAGGAAGTCCAGGATTTCCATCTCTTCCAGGTTCACCTGGGATTCCAACAAAACCAGTGTCTCCCTTGGCACCTTAAAAACAGAACAATTTCCTCATCATAACCTAAAACTTTCTCAACCCGAAATACTGAATAATTCTTGTTTCATAGATCATTCAAATACTACAGCGACTTCATAGATATCTCACCTGGGGCTCCGTCACGACCACGTTCTCCTGGCAGACCTGGGGGTCCCTGGGGTCCATCTAATCCTGGTGCTCCAGGACGTCCTGGGACACCAGCCTCTCCTCTCTCCCCTGGGATACCAGATAATCCCTCTGTTCCAGGGAGTCCTGCATTTCCTTTGGCACCAACTGGACCTGATAAGAGAAGAAAACATCAGGTTGAAATTTCATTGAACAGTCTTCATGAAATGAACGATGGAATATATATCACTGTTATTATAAGCAATGCTTTTGAAATTAAGGCTACATTGACGAAAGCTGTCAAAATCAGACAAGGATCCTTGATATGTTTAAATCAATAATCCTAACTTATAGAATCTAAATTTTGGGCAATTAAGCCCCAAAATTTCCAGTTTCCTCCTTTAACATCTCTAGTAAATTGAATGTGCAGTCATCAAATTATAAGGAAAATAAACTACTTTAACTTTTAGATCTGATTTGACTTTTCATCCAGTACCTGGTATTCCTGGTAGACCTGCATCTCCAGGTGGACCTCTTGCACCTTCTGGTCCAGTAGGTCCAGGTTCTCCCTTCTGTCCTGGACCACCTGGTAAACCAGGAAGTCCAGATGGACCTGGATCACCCTTCATACCGGGAAGACCATCTTGTCCAGGAAGTCCGTCTTGTCCTGGGAACCCAGGCTGGCCACGAGGTCCGTCAAGTCCAGGCAATCCCGGTTCTCCTTTCTCACCATTTGTAGAACGTCCATCTCTTCCAGGAATTCCGGCTTCCCCTACAATTATTATATGGTACTCCTTTTAAATGGAACCCTTCCATTTGATTAATTAATTTTTTTTTTGTAATACTTGATTTCAAGGGGGAAAATTCAGAAATATTGGGGGAAATAATGAAATTTCAAGATTACAGAAGTAAGTACATGTATTTGATGATGTCTGAAAAATGTGACTTGCTTTGTCAACTTTTATACCTTATGTCTGCCTATCTTGCTTTGTCAACTTTTGTACCTTATGTCTGCCTACCTTGCTTTGTCAACTTTTGTACCTTATGTCTGCCTACCTTTCTTTGTCAACTTTTGTACCTTATGCCTGCCTACCTTTTAATCCAGGTAATCCCTGGGGGCCAGGTTCTCCAGGTCTACCATCAAATCCTGGCTGTCCTGGGGGACCATCTGCCCCCTTGTCACCTCTGGGTCCAGGAAGTCCTGCATGTAAAAGAAAGAACTCTGTCATCTACTCAATACATTAAAACTGTCAAGTCAGAACCATGGAACTGATTTCCCAATTTACTCTTAATAATCAATTTAATAATTAATCTTAAGAATTTGTCAAGATATAGGAGCTGATTATAAAAGTTCTGATGGAATTAATTCTCAGGAAATTAAGGCAAATTACCTCCTTGTTATTCCCAAATTAAAGTTTTGAATGAAATTGCTAAATTTTAAACAATAATGATCATTGATTAATAACCTCTTAGCTAAGTTTTTTTAGGTACAAAAATCTAAGCAATATATGGAATCAATTATGAAATATAAGATTCAAGCACATGCCCATCAACCTCAATTTTTGATATGATCTTTTTAAATAAGTAGAGTTTAAACCTACATAATCCTGCATCAAATAAACTAGATGTAGAGTAAAACTCTGATATCTAGACACCCTGGCTATCTTGATGTTTTCCAATTTTATTGGACATACTATTCAATACTACATTTAAAAAACTATAACAGTGTTCCCGATGTTGTGACAATGAAGTGTACCTCTGGGGCCAGCGTCTCCCGGTATTCCATCAAGTCCTCTTTCTCCCTTCATTCCAGGTAAGCCATCCAGACCAGGGGCACCAGGGACTCCTGTTAACAGTCAAAACAAGCCTCATAAACATCCAGGCCAAACAATATCCAGCTTGTGTCAAATTTTGAAAAAAAAAGTCGACCCCAAATCATCTCAATGGATATTAAGCAAAAGGTTTGGAAAATTACTTTAAATTCATTCACAACATTCCATAAAATATAATATGTTGAAATTTACCCCTTTCTCCCTTGACTCCCGGAAAGCCATCTCTTCCAGGAATTCCTGGATTTCCAGGAAATCCAGGTTCTCCCTTTGTTCCCTTCAGAAGGTCAATATTAACATCAATTGTCTCTCCTCAAAAAAGAAGAAATGTATATGATTTCATGCATCCAGCTCATTAACTAACTGTATAACATCCTGCTTAACATTCAAATTGATGAAAATTCTGCATATGGAAAAATCTTTTACAAAATAGTTTATTTCGTGATATTAAGCAAAATGTTCTTCTGACAATCACTGAAAATTCTGCTTATTGTTTACATAGTCACTGCAGTCTCCTGGCCATAAAACGTAGAGGAACTCACTTTTCCACATAAATTCTTTTTGTAAAAGTGAGAATGAATGAGCTCCTCAAAGTTTTCAAGGCCTCAGAGCCAGAGCCTAGTCAGAAATCTCCTCCCACCCCCCACACACCCCAATGACCGGTACCTGGTGCTCCCTTTTGTCCTTTCATGCCATTTAAGCCTGGAAGTCCATTGTCTCCTGGGAGACCTCGCTCTCCGGGGAGACCTGGAACACCAAATCCAGGTTCACCCTTAGCTCCCTTGAGTCCAGCTAAACCTGGAGATCCTGGTACACCATCATTTCCATCCCGTCCTCTGTCTCCCTAGGATAAAATAGAAAGACAGGGTCATCATTTTTATTTGTTGTAGCTTATAGGTCATCTTTTTGTTTGAAATCACAATTATTAATTGCCCTTTTGTGATATCTGTATACAACTGACCTTTTCTCCTGGTAACCCTGGTAACCCATCCTGACCTCGGGGACCTTGAGGACCTGGTACTCCTGGCAGACCCTCCTCACCTGGTAATCCAGGTAACCCAGGCTCACCTTTACTACCTGAACACACATAAGAAATAAACAATCAATGAAAAGAAAATAGAACATGAGTATACAACATGCACTCCACTATAAACTTGAGACATATATCAAATTTTCAACTGATTTTGTTATCATTTTTGAACACTATGATTAGAATTTTTTCCCAGTAAATGAACTACTTACACATATCTGTAATGGTCTCTAACTCGATTCTGTAGGGCTCGCCTTTAGGTCCCCGTAAACCGTCAGTGCCTGGCAGCCCAGGAAGACCCTGACATAAACATAAAGATCATGAACAGACCAACAGAGGCATGTAGACATAAGGTCAAATTTAGATGAAAATAGAAACACAATACCCCCCACCCCCCTGCTTATTTATATCAATGATCCCTGATCAATCACAAATTATTGATGTTGATTATCCAAGAGAGTTAACTAAGAAAAGCACTAATAAAATAAATTTCACAAAAAATACTATTCTGGTTAAATACCGGTTCTCCTCTTTGGCCAACAAATCCTGGAAGACCTTCCTCTCCTCTAAGACCCGGTTCACCCTTTGGCCCAGTTCGACCAATTTCTCCAGGGATACCAGCAGATCCAGGTCGTCCAGGGGTTCCCTTCTCTCCCTTTAATCCAGGTAAGCAATCTCTACAGGATCCTCCTCTGTCACCTGTAACATAAAATAATGTCAATTCTGATGTCCTAACATGTAAGTAAGAACAAGGAAAAATGTCTTTGCTTATTTTCACTTCATTTTGACACTTGCAGTATAGCATTAATCAAGATCTTAGTGGGGAGCTATCTAAAACAGCTTTTCCATTACAGAGTTCAATTTTCATGATCTAAAAGTGTATGTTTGTTTGCATGGGTGTGTGTGGAAGGGGATTTACAACCTCCACTAAGTACAGTATTTGTAGATGTCAAAAAGTTAACAAAAGCTTAAATTAATCACTTGAACTTAAATTAATTAACTTGCCTTTTTCTCCAGGGAGACCTGGAAGACCATCACGTCCACCTATACCAGGGAATCCAGGATTTCCCTTACTTCCTTTGGGTCCAGGAAGTCCAGGGCGTCCTCTGGTCGAATTTCCTGGAATACCAGGAAGTCCCCTAAATCCAGGTTCTCCCTTCTGTCCAGGTCGTCCATCTCGACCAGGGAATCCATTAGCACCTTTTATTCCTGGGATTGATATTCCAGAGTTTCCTTTCGGACCAGGATCACCCTTTTCACCTGGCAATCCAGGTTGTCCAGGTATACCATCAATTCCACGCAAACCTTGAATTTAAAAAAAACTGATAATTATCATGATCTCTAAAATATCCTTTCACAAAATGTTATTGAATTACGTATTTATCCTTTGGATTGTGTGTCTTTCCTTAACTTTACAATTTATCTGAATTGACTATGACATGTAATTTGCCTGCCTTTACACACAAATCTACTTTACAGATTTTCACTAATATCAGATCTGTAGATGCATTATTATGCCTGTTGGAGGAATATACTGGTATTTTCAGTATAAGAACAATGAAATGTGACCTACCACTATAACCTCTGCTGAACTTCACCTGCCAGAAAGGAAACCATTCCGATTCTGTTTCTTACCTGAACTTCCCTTGTCTCCTTTGTCCCCCTTTGGTCCAGCTGGTCCCTCCGGACCAGGAAGTCCCTGTGTTCCTGGCCCTCCAGGAGGTCCAGCTCTACCAGGGGGACCTGGCAATCCCACTAATCCATCTAAACCAGGGAATCCCCTTTCTCCTGGGGGACCACGTTCCCCCTTTGGTCCTTCTGGGCCATCACCACCTTCTCCCTGTTTATCAAACAAAAAGTTCATGACTGGAAATGGTCAATTAAGTGTTTCCTTCTTTTTGTACCTCCTAATATCTGTACTATACATTTGTCCTATATTTCCTTGAGTAAAACTTTAGGCTTCCATTGCAGCTCATTAATGGGCCAAGATTTGACCAGAGGTCTTTGATGAGACTGTGGCTCTACTGATGTGTACTTAAAATTAAAAAAAATGTACATGTATCTTAGTATAGTCTACATGTGTACCAAGTCTAATTGAAATTCAACCAAAACCGATGGAGTAATGATTTGAAAGAATTTCACAGAAATTTTTATCTATAGTAACACATAGAAACTTTGTTGAAATCAAAAATCCTAAATTGAATTATTTATTCAAGTGTAGTCTACTTGTGAACCAAGTTTTATTGCAATTGGATTTAAATTGTAGGACGGATTTAAATTGTAGGCATTTTGACACAGATATTTCTATTTTTAGTAAACATGGCAACACTGTTTGTCATCATCCTGATACCTCACATCTATAATAGGATAACTAACCCCACTTGATACCTCAACATCTGTCATACCTCAACATCAACTTACCCCACTTAAAATTTTATATCTGTGGTAGGATAACTTATCTCACTGTTTACTTCACACCTATGGGTGGAGAACTTACCCCACTTAATACTTCACACCTATGGATGGAGAACTTATCCCACTTAATACTTCACACCTATGGATGGAGAACTTACCCCACTTAATACTTCACACCTATGGATGGAGAACTTACCCCACTTAATACTTCACACCTATGGATGGAGAACTTACCCCACTTGATACTTCACACATATGGAAGGAGAACTTGCCCCACTTAATACCTCACACCTATGGATGGAGAACTTACCCCACTTAATACTTCACACCTATGGATGGAGAACTTACCCCAATTGATACTTCACACCTATGGATGGAGAACTTACCCCACTTAATACTTCACACCTATGGATGGAGAACTTACCCCACTTGATACTTCACACCTATGGATGGAGAACTTACCCCACTTGATACTTCACACCTATGGATGGAGAACTTACCCCACTTAATACTTCACACCTATGGATGGAGAACTTACCCCACTTGATACTTCACACCTATGGATGGAGAACTTACCCCACTTAATTCTTCACACCTATGGATGGAGAACTTACCCCACTTGATACCTCACACCTATGGATGGAGAACTTACCCCACTTGATACTTCACACGTATGGATGGAGAAGTTACCCCACTTAATACCTCACACCTATTGATGGAGAATTTACCCCACTTGATACCCCACACTTATGGAAGGAGAACTTACCCCACTGGGTCCCGGTGGTCCCCTGTATCCCTTTTCTCCCTTCAGACCAGGTATTCCAGGATTTCCTTTTTCACCTTGAACTCCATTCAATCCCGGCAGACCATCCATTCCTCTGTCTCCCTGCCAATCAGAAACATTTATTATAGAAGAGGTACCACAAGGGAAAATCAAATTGAGGCTACAGTATTTCTATAATTATCTCTCACCTTTAAACCAGGTAATCCTGGAAGACCAGGTAATCCTTGTTTACCCTAAAATAATACAGTATAGAGAAATTAAATGAAATCTACCCAAAATGAATTAAATTTTTAAGGTACTTACATCAAAGATATGACATTACAACAGTTGCCAAAACTCTTAAGACAATCTGAATTACTGTTAGATATGTTGATTTTTTACATGTTCTTGTGATATGAGCAGGTATTTGTTTAAATGTTTTACTGTAAAGCGTTTTACATACTCTTGGTCCAGCAATACCAGGTATCCCCTTCTCTCCCACCATTCCTGGGGGTCCTTTCATACCCTGAAGGAATCCAAAGCAAAATAGTGTTACTCTCATATTAAATTGTAATTATTATCAGCAAGTTAAAATATAGAAAATATTCCTATGAACAACCAATACTGTGGAGTCATTATCATTCATGAGGGACCAATGTTCATTTATTTCATGGGCCACTCTTACCTACAAACAATCGGTCACTGTTCATTGAATCTTCTGTATATATATATGACTTACCCACAAAATTATGTCCCCATGAACCAGTAACATTGTATTTGCAGAATTTTGACACCAACGAATTACAATGATCCCACAGTTATCTGCTATGAGATTTCTAACATTTTTAGGTAATTCAAATGGGAAAAAAAGGGAGGTAATTATAAGTTAATGTCAACAGAAAAACTGCTTTTGATGTATATGATAGAATCCTTCTTTAAATGTACACATCTTGTACCGGTAGTTAGTGTAAACTCACAGGGAAACCTCTTTCTCCTTTGTTTCCTGGCAATCCTGGTAAACCATCATTACCCTAAAATACAACATTGCCTTTTAGAATTTTCACCACATCATATTTTTACAATACATTAATAATAGGAGATGCATAGCATAGATCCACATTTTGTAATATATTCATTTCTTTGCTTTCAAAATAAGGCTGATCTTGTATATTTGGAAGAAAAAAGTGTGTAAATAATCTTTTGATGAGAGCATATTTGGCCTAAAAAAATGTGTGTTTGTATGCATTAGGCAAACACTGGACATATACACCACTTTATAACATTCAATTGATATCGGTACATTTTTCTTGAAGCATGCACTTCCTATACTATCGAGTAGTTAGTTTTGTTTGATGACAATGAACACTTACCCTGGGTCCTCTGTCTCCTTTTGGTCCTCTTGGTCCAATCTGAGTCACATTAGGTTCCTTCAGTTGTTGATTTCCATCACAAGGGGGGCCTGGGGGGCCTCTAGCACCTGGCTCACCCTGGTCTCCTTTTTCACCATTGACCGCTAAACCTGGGAAACCTTTCTCTCCTTTCTGGCCCAAAAGTCCATCATATCCCTAAAGGATTGGTGAAAGTCATATTAAAATCTTCTCAAGGTCAATAAGATAAAAATCAAACTTATAGATGAACTTATATAATGAACTATGTGTCTCTCAATACAACTTACTCTTGGTCCTTCAGGGCCGGGCAGTCCTGGCAATCCAGGGGGACCAACTCTGCCAGGGGGACCCTAAAAATACACAAATAGAGCAATCAGATATTTCTCTATAATATAATTCCTGTTGATATTTAGTTTTTACAATAGAATTTCATAATATCATGACCTTTTACCTGAAGACCTTGAAATCCTTCGATACCAGGTTCTCCCTGTGAAAATCAAAATCAGTTATGCATTTAATTTACATGTAGTACATGTAAAAAAATAAAATCAAGTGTTATTTAATATTAACTACACCATATAAGACATATAAAATAAAACAAACCTATTTTTAGTAATTAAGTGTAGGCTAACCTTTTGACCTTTGACGGCAACTCCAGGTGAAGATTCTCCTTTCATACCTGGGAGACCAGGTAGACCTGGGGGGCCGACCTGACCTGGAAGTCCATTTAATCCAGGGTTACCGGGCTCTCCCTACAAAAATACCATCAACAAGACTTAGTGATCAAAAAGACCTCTTCTGCATATTTTGGGTTTAGAAGCACTCATTACATTTTAAATTTCATGTAAGAAACTGTTACTGGTGTGTATGCTATTTTACCAATTCATTTTGCTGGATTTGAAATTGACACTTCCTTAACCTTTTTCGGGTTGCTGAAATATTGCTTGCCTGAATCATCTTGCTTCTTACTTTAAATGAAGAAATAATTAATCTACTCTAGATAAGGATACTTATGCGACAAATAAAGCCTTTTACTTTCAACACTATATTTTTTTTATGAAGATTTCCTCAAACTGTACCCAGATAAAAATTTAGTAACATATTGCAGACCATCATGTCTTTTAGATCCAGGATGGTGTGACTTCCTATTAGGCCTAAAACTCGGGTTTTCTTAAACTTGTCAATCACAAAATTTCAATGTGAAAGAAAAAATAAACAAGTGCTAAATTAGTCAAGATCCTGTAAAGATGCAGGTTTTGTTTGTATACCATGTTCATCATATTTCTCAAAGATTGGAAAAATGAAAGCAAAATGGGCAATTCTAGTACCATTTTTTTTGCCTCAGAAAATATGTGTGCATTCTTTAGCAATATCAAACATGCACTATTTGTGTTTAAGTCATAAGGTTTATAATAAAATATATAGAATGTATATATACATACTTTTTTAATTGGAAAACTATCATGAAACATATTTGTTTGCAATAAATTGAACTTTCTGAACAAATCTGTAATATTTAGCATATAATACCAAAATTAAACAATTATTATATATTATCTTCATGTATTCAATTTCTTTACATAATATCTTTCGATCTACTGACATTGTGAAATCCCTGATAATCATTCATATCAATATAGTTATTCTTAATGAAAAAATAAATCATTGTAATTCATTATTTTTCAAACCAAAAATTTGGAATAAAAAAAGAATAGAAATTTAAACATTTTTCAAATTAAAAAATTGCTTATTTCTTGTGAGGAATGCTCTTCTTCTATGTGCTAAAAGAGCGACTGGTCTGTTTCTGTGGAGATAAGCCAGATCTGGAGTAAACAGCTGGTAGCTATAATTGTCAGTATAGTATATACCAGCAGTGGGTCAGCTTGAAGGTGGTTAGGGAAATCTGGAACACATTGTTTAGAAGATGTGGCATACTTATTTATGTAGAACAAATTAATAGGTCAGATCCTAAGAGAGATTTTGTGTCTGGAATTTACAGAAAAAAAAAATTCCAAAGGACTGGAGCTTGCTCACTTATTTCTTTTTTTCAATATTCAATTACTGTTTCCATTTGAAAACGAAAATACTCAGATCATTTCTAAAATTAAAAATGATTTACATACTTAATAAAAGACCTTTCCTACAAAATTTCATAATCAACAGCCAAAGAACATCAATGATTTGCTCTGAAAAATTGGGATTCCTAATTCATTTGGGGCTTCTATATTGTCCTTAAAACATCCAATCATTTTTCCTCTCCATGAGGAGGTAAGTACTTGGTATATCTGGCAGTTATTTAACACCTACAGGCTCCCCCACTGTGTGAGATTCCCTGCTGAGTGGAGTAATGTGATTATCTTATCTCCACTGATAGTGTTCCTTATCTCAGGCTGCCCAACCCAGAAATTATCACTCTTAAACAATATCACTTCATTGTTTAACCCTTATATAATTGGCAGAATGGAAACTTATAAAGCTATGTGTTTCTTTCCTAAGATGAAATCTTTTATTTATTAAAGAAATCGTGCATGTGTTACTTCGTATATGCATGTACCAGAAATAAACACAATGTTGATTTTGAAAGGAAAAAAAAAAAACAAGCAAAAACACTGGGTAAGCTAAAATACTGGTATGCTGCAAGAAAACTAGTTATAAGTAAATGAGAGAAAAGACTGCCGCAGACATGATAATGTGGTGTGGTTTTTTAAGATTCCCAGACAGCAGATTGATTCATCTGCTTGTTTAAATACTTGCTACAAGCTTCAGTGTTTGACAAGAACTTTAATGACCTCTAAAGCAAGCTATAATTCTACCTCCTAATTAACCAATACAAAAATTTGCTAGGAAATTGAATTCAAAATCAATCAAACAATCAATCAATCAATGGGTTTATCAATATTTCACTGTTCAAAGAGAACTTGTGAAAGACAATACAGTTCATCATGTAGCATAATATTAAAAATCTTAAACAAAGAGAGGCACCCATTCATATGATGCTTCTACTCCTTCCATTAAATTGCCCAATTGTCTTCCAATCATCACCTCAAATACTACTTCCCTACATGTAAAGACAAATTCAATTGACATAATGTGAAAAGTCTTTGTCCATGAAAACATTCAAAGAGTTCTCTGGTTAAAATTGTCAAATTGGGCCCACATATGAAATAAACAGAAACAAACATGAAATTCTGATAATCTTCTTTCACCAAGACTGATGACGCCTTTTCTCCAAGACAGATGTGTTTTTTTAGCCTAAGATGGCTGTTTGACAATAAGATCAAACAAGATTGACAAGAAACAAAATGTTTTCCCCCTCAATCTGAAGCCTGGGAGGGATAAACTAGTCACAAATACACAGTGTTCATCAGCTGAGAATGTCAGCCTCTGACATGAACCCGTTTCCTCTTTTTCCTCTCCCAGAAACTGAATGTGACAAGTGCCTGTGATTCATTATCATTACTTCTAATGATTCATTGAGAGAAGATTTTTCTGCGTTTTGCTGTAAACTCTGTACCAAAAAACACCAAACTTCCAGAAAAGTATGGTTCTTATCAATTTTTTCCAATAACTTTTTTTTTGTTGTTGGAAGAAACGATTAAAATTCTCCTGAAACACTACTCGATCTTATGCAGCTGCTTCCAGAATTTTCACCCAAAAATAAACTGCGTAGATATAAGAAAAATAGAATTTATCATTCTGATTGCATGCAGAATTGACAAGATTATGCATGCTCATGCATTTTCAGTCTGTGCCTATACCTGTGTTCCATTGCAGCCATCCATACCAGCAGGTCCTCGGGGTCCAGTTGGGCCAGGAATACCCTATAACACAGAAAGACAATTCTGACATGATGACCTTCAACTTTATCAAATATACATCACATATCTGTCTTACAAATATAAAAATTTAAAGCAGGAGTTTTGGGAGACATTCAAACAGATATATATAAAATGAACAGTTTTCCTCCATCTTCCCTTAGATTTTATTTTGAGTGTTCTTCAAATCAGTCAAATTTTTATGCATTTCAGAAGATAGAATTTAAGAAACTGTACACTTTCATTTAAAAAGGTCAGATGAAGATTTCAATACTATTATAAAACTGTATGAAAGTTTTTGGATTAATAATTAAAGAAAATAACTTGAAAACTTACAGGAATTCCGTTGATTCCGGGAAATCCAGGCATTCCCATTTTTCCCTAAAAATGTCACATATCAAATTTTAATGAACCTCAGCTAAATTTCAAAAGTTTTTGAATTTGCAGACAAGCGAACTGTTAAGTTTACACACCTTTGCTCACGATAAATATGCCACATTTCATGGAACAAAGAAAATTGGGACTGGGAGTTTTCAGTGGAAATATCTCATAATTTTGATGTTTCCAAAAGTATATTTATGTAAATAAATACAAAAAAGAAAAAATTAAGGAACTTAAAAAAAAGAGGGGGGATATGGTGTTCATATATAATTAATGATACTGGATTGAAGTGATGAGTAAAATTTCTGTGTTTTTGTCACTTACTCTGTCTCCTTTTGGTCCAATGAGTCCTAATGGACCAGGTTCTCCTTTCTGACCTTTAAGACCGGGAAGTCCCTCCATGCCAGGATACCCTTGAACTCCCTGAGGGCCAGGAGGACCCAGGGCTCCAGGAATACCCTACAAATGTCAGTCACTGAATGTTACATCCCACCAACATACTTAATGTACCAGTATGCATGATGTGTAATTGGTTGAAATACAGTGTAATCAATTGACAGTACATTGTACATGTACTACATAATTGATTTTCATTCATATATGAAATTAATAAAAGATTCTATCTGCTCACATTAATATGCTTATTGAAATAAGGCAAATAAATGAACCATAATCAGTTATTATACAGAATATATTTGCTGATAGAAACTAACATGTATTACTGTAATTGATAAATAAAAAATATGTATCCTTTTTACTGTAAACATGTTTACAGAATCAAAGAAATAATTTTCATTCACCAATTATTATGGGGAATATTTTTGATATGTTTTAAACAACAAATATTTCTGAGTGCTTGTATGCTTATATCTGGGAAAAATCTTCTAGATCAGTCCTGGTGCCACTTAGACCCCAGATCTGCTTTTTCAAAACAATATCAAATCACAACTCAGCATCTACGGCAGTTGTTTATTTGCCAAGCCCAATCTCCCCATCGAAATCTCATATCCTGGCTCATTGGCTCCTGCTTGTCATGGGCTAGTGGAATGCAGTGGGTTTGGGAATAATTTTGATGACTTTTACAGAAGTTAGGTATCTAAGTTTGCAGGCTGTGTACAGGAGGATACATACACAGCCCTGCTCTAACAGGTAGAGCTGATGGAATCCAACAGGTTTCTACCAGGGTCAATGCCCAGTCCGATTTTACATAGCTGCTTACATCAGCAATAATAGGGCAATGACTTTTTACAAGCATTTAATGAAGCCTAGATGTGAAAAATGTTTCAAAAGGTCAAAGATGGATTGGAAACTTTTTGATGGTGTATAGTCAGAACCAATTTCGAATAAAGATTAGAACTGAATGATTTATCAGTTATAAATTGTCAAATTACTGTCTTCTTCAGATATGTACAATCATGAACATAATGAAAACATTTTTTTTACCCTTTTTAATTCCTAACTTAACATCATCTATCTTTAGATACGAGTTCACAGGACCAGCTGATCAACAAAGAATGTTAGGACCTACAGTCTGATTAAACCCCTTTTTAGAATGTAAATCCTTGAGATGCTGCCCAGCCTATACCCACTGTTATACTTACCCTAGACCCTTTCTCGCCCACACATTTACATCCATTACTTGTTTGACAGTTGGCTCCACATTCCTTTAAGTCTTGCTGGAAAGAGAAAAAAAAGTTTTATTTTTCTATTACTAAATGTCTTCAAAAGATTGTGCATTTTATTTTACCTTAATCACTAAGGTTCAACACCTTTGATACCCTTTTGTCTGGGACATTAGCCAAAAATCAAGCGTGGGTTTACTGAAAATGTTACAAAGGCAGTCCTCTGTGCTATGTTAAATGCAACAGGCCCAGATTTTAAGCAACTACAATTGACTTTCTTCATTCCCAGAATACAGCTAGATGGCAGGATTTGGCCTCTTTATTTTAAGATTTTTGGAGGGTTACACCCTTCTCCCCAAGCAAGAATGGGAATGGGGACTAGCTCTCTCTCATTCACCCTTACCCACCTTGTTTCAAGATTCACCAAGCTGTACTAAGGACACAATATAAGACTGGTAGGATTTATTAACAACTAAACTGAAAAAAACATGTCTGACCCACTCAGTTACTAAATCGTTACTTTGAAAAGATTGACACATGTAACTTTCAACAGCATTATCTAGCATTTTAATTGATCTGGATGCTAATGGAATAATTTTTCATATTTTTTTTTTTGTTTTTTTTTTTGATAAGTTGTTGTAATTTTTTTGATGTCTAAATATGGTTTTGCACATTTTGAAATGTTAAACTTGTTCCTCTTTCATTCTCATCATCATAGTAATTTATTAGGTTATAAAAGAAACTGTTCTGAATCACCCCCAATCTGCTTAGTTCAGCAAAACTGCTAAAAAAGTGGAACATGATTACAGAATAAACACAGACAAGATATATCAGACCCTAAAGAAATATTTATATACATCTCCATGGTAACCTGTAACAGTGTGTGTTAATGTTTACAGAACAATAATGGAAGGGGTTTTCCTTATCTTCTGAAGATCAAACAGATAATGGTCCCTAAAAAGGCCACTAAATTCACTTTGTGAATGAATTTTCCTGGTTAAAAAAACCCCCTGAAATCCAACTTGCTGCTTGTTCTTTGACGTATGATTTATATCAGAAATACTTGATATTCCGGGTAATTGTTCATGTTGTTAGGGAGACAAAAAAAAAATTATGCATACAATGTACATACACTAGAGATCATAGAGCTTATACATAATGCTGATTACCAGGGCTGATGACTTGAACTAATGACTGCAGACTACCATGTCATGTTCAGAAATTAATTTGCTGGGATCTGCAATTCCAAGGGAGGTAATCTAATCTAGCCACAGTAGATACATGTGTATTATCCCATGTGTTCTTCAAGCAGATAGTTTCTTGATACATGCACACAGTTTACTTATAATATTTTGAAACATCTGGATAAACACCTTTCCTAAGTGATTTAAAAAATTTTCATGAACAATTATATGGAACTGAGAAATTGAACTAGCTAATGCATGTGTCATACTAGGTGTACATTGTGTACTCAGCTAAACCTCCCAAACTGACTTCATCAAGGATTTCGCCCACACAGACTAGTAAATTATCAGATAGTTCCTTCATTACAACACCTGGATGCTGTAGTGGATTTTTCTATTATCACACCAAATGCACCCAAAAGAACCCCAATAACCCTTACCCGCCCCTAACCCCCCAACCCCACCATACAAACCTCCCATTAATGTCAACATTCTCTCCATTTTGGCCTGTGATTTGTTTTGTTTTTTTTTCTATTTATAACTCTTGATGTTTATAAAGATTGTCTCTGACATTAAACAAGCTGACAATGGGCTTACGTAGGCTAATTCAGTAAGCTACTATGTAGAAGCCTTCTGATATACATGTAAGTGGTTTCTTCTTGTAGCCATTGTCTGATGCATGCATCACTCTCCTGCTTTAAGGGCTGTTCTACTTACATACTCTTATTTATCCACTTTGACATTAAGGAGATTGCAACAATGATTTTATTGTTTTTTGTTTATAATAAAGTACCTTTTAATAAGTTCATGATCTCTTACTTATCATAGCAGAGTGCTTACGTACTTTTGTGATATTAAAAATATGTTCATCAATTAAGTCTCTTTTCATTGCAAAATCAAACTTTTAATATAGACTGGTGGTTTTTTTTTTTCAGTTTTGGAGAAAAAAAAATTATAAAAATATTAAGTAAATGTTCATTCAATTGACCTTGATACTGGTACATATGCACATCCAAAAAAGGAGTAAGTTAGGGAATTATTTTCCTCTAAAGGAGGTAAATTGATAGAAAGTATAAAGAGCATATATTTATATATATTTTTGGTTCTATAGTTGACCTGTGGTATCTTGAACACCCATATCTATCTCGAAGTGATTTAAGAAGTTTTCTCTCGGTCCCATTGATTTTAAGTCTTTGAGATAATGACTGTACTTGTACACAATCCTTTCCTTATGTAAATTATATTCCTTTCCTTATGTAAATTTTGTAAAATCATGAAGTATAGAAAAACACTGCATATATGATGTCACAATAGGACTCAATAGCAGAACAGTTTGGGGATTGGGTGGGGGTTGTCTTCCTCCCACCTCTTCATCCCACCTTCTTTTTAACCTACCATTAAGTTTTAAAATATGTACATTTTCAACTTTGCAGAGTTTTTTGGTGACCAACATGACTTGTTTTTCTTACATGTACATCAACAAGCTGTGTAGAATTTGCTAATCAACATATGCTGTGTAGAATTGGCTAATCTTAACACTGCATACTGTTCTACAGACAGTTATCTCACATGAAAAACAAAAAAAATTAGAGAGAGTGCATAATTTTCCACCTCCAAAGATTTTGTATAAACATTTCAATATTTATGAAAACACACAGAAAAACTGGATTTATTTTTTTTTTAAAAGTTGAATAGGATCATTATTTTTTTTACACTAAAAACCATACCGAGCAATAGAAGCAGTTACATATATTACCCAAGAAATTCATAAAAGATGAACTTTTACTTCATTTGTTAAGAATGAGTCTTTTTTAATTGTATTTGCACTGATGGACTTATAAATGTGAACTGAGTTGCAAGGAAAATCTTTCTGACAAAATTTTACTTCTGCTTTTGTAGAAAACCTCAAATGTTTAAATTTTTCACATTCTATCATATTTCTAATAAAAAACTCAGGAAGTTAGGGAGATTTCCTGAAAGCTTGATGATTCAGTAGGCCAGACTTAAATTACTGAGGAAGAAAGATGTCTGTTAAGCCATCCTGCCATGAAATAGATGGAGAACATCTGTACTCATTTACCATCACTGGTCTGCAAATCATCAATTTCTCTAGGTTAAAAAAATCTCAGGTTATCCACTTTAGATTTACATCTTGACTGGTGAACTTTTGCTTTGACTTGAATACTGAAATTTGTATGTCAGATCAAGTCTATTAGGAAATCGTTATGAATCCATTTTGAAATTGATATTCTTTAACTGAGTTCAAATGAATATTACCAGTAATCATTGAAAATAAACTTACATATCATTTACAACATAAAGATATGGATCATGCCTTTATGGTGAGTAGCTAAACAACCCGAAAGTTTCAGCTGAAATTTTGTTTAAAAAAAAGAAAAAAAAGGAAGTCAATAAAACATGAATAAGTTCCTATTCTTAAAAAATTACAGATATTAGAATTAACACTGTTCATATGTTTTCATAAACAGCTAATCAGTAACACTGCAGAAAAAACTATTTGTTATTCATCATGTTGTAGGGTACTCAGACACCCCCTACGAAGTTGGCAGGCAAAGTCAGGTGCTACCAACTCCACAAGAAGTGCAGATATCAAACACTGCATGGGTAATTCTTGTCTAGATAACACATATAATATACCAATGATAACAAGCAACAGGGTGTAGCACCATGCAGAAGTAACAAGTTACTAAAATAGAGCAAATAAGTTTACTTCTTGCAAAAGGACTTAATGATAATCATGATTTATGTCCAATTATATTCATATTTAAATTTGTTCTTTTTTTAAACATATTTTCTTAATTTTTTTTCCCTGTCTTCGTTATGAATTTCTTGGATTAAGAATCAAAGCTTAATGACGGTTTCTTATATATCCCCACCAAGGTCATTCATCCTTTTCTGAAAAACTCTGGATTCAATTCATAAACTTACACCAGCATTGTACAGAACAGAACATTTATTTTCTAATTTAGAGCCCATATAAACAGACAAGTATGAAATTATTACAATAATAAAGAAAAGATATGCCAATGGATAGTATAACAATTTGTAAATGACAATACTCATTTCAACAATAATATTGTACTATTTCAGTTAAAGGGAATACTATATGTAAAAGTGTATGGCTACTACAACATGTTATCATTTATGAATTTGCCCACAGAATTAAGAGTTTCTTTGTCTTCAGTATTGAGTAACCAAAAAAGTTTTTGTTCATCATCTAATGCCGAGAAATTTGGAAATTTACTTTTATTTGACTGAAAAATGTCTTTTCTTTAATGATCATATTTTTTACATGTTATCAGAAAATGAGTTTCATCATCTACACTGTTAGAGTTACATCTATTGTATATTAGACCCTAAAGGCCTGCTTAATATTACAGCTGTTTTGGTTATTCAGGGGCATAAAATTTAGCAATGGTAATGACCCAAAACCACTGGATCTGGGTCATTCAGTCTACACACAGACAAGAGAACAGGAAAATATCCTGACATTCTCTATTTCCAAATACTTGATACAAGTATCTTAGTAAAGTGATCCATTAAGTCTAACTGTGAGTCATGCAAGTGGGAGTTTGGAAAATAAAGGGGTTTTTCTTCATACTAAGCTTGAAGGCTCAAAGACTCCAAAGTATCAAATTAAAATTCCTAACTGCTGCTGCATGGTTTTAATGTAACTTGCAACAACTGCATCTTATTCATCAAAAACTTAATTGCTTTGAACTACCTCGATTCATCAAATTAGAATGTAGCATAGTACACAAAGACATGATGTGGGCAGTATATTATTTTGAAATCATGTATTTTCCCTCCAAACATTTCAATATAGAAAAAATATACAGATGTGTATTT